ACCCTCATTCCCAACCCCCAGAAATCAGTTTTTTTTTTAACTCTTTTTTTTTTCAAGTGGAAGGTGAAGGAAATATGATGAGACTGATTTAACGAAATAAAATTCCTGAAAACTGCGCAGAATAAAATTATATATAAATATATTTATTTATTTTTTTTAAAATCGTAAATGCGTTTGGTGCGTAATTTTTGCTTATCTTTTTTTTTTCTGAAATAGTTGGTGAAATAAATCTGTGTAAACGCGGGTGGGAAATAAGAAAAATAAAATAAATAAAAATACATAAAAATGATAATGCCACTAAATTTTATTTTAGGGATTCTTTTTAATTTCAATTGCACTTGTTAGCGTTTTGAAAAAGAAAAATTATAAGCCACTCATCAATTTAACTATATGCATACAGCCACCTTAGTAAGGTTCCAATTTGAATAACTCCATGTCGTCAACCTTTCCATTGTGTTTGTTAAGTGGATGGATTCGTTTTCAAGCGTGTCGAGACCAAGAGACATAACACTTAAAAGAACAACAACATATGTTCGAGCCACTAATAAAAACAAGATCAATTAAACACCAACCCCGGACAGGCCTGTGAACCTTCGGTGGGTATATATCCATTTCGCAAACACCTTCTGGGATGATTGTCTACCTTATTTTCCAGTTAATGTATAATGGCTGCGTTGCTTAGGGTTCAAATGGCTTGAAAGACTTTGCAATTGTATGCTTGTAATTAGTTTTTGTAGTGTTGCGTTTGTTTTAAATGTGATATTTTATAGATTTATTTTTCGTTGACTTTGTACCGCGCTTCGAGCCTTTGGGGATGAAGCGTGTTTTTGAAATGAACTTTATTATTATTATCATTATTTAGCTCAGGGTTCAGCATAATGTATTTATTATTTAATTATTTTTTTTTTGGAGCAGGGTCGACAGTTGAGACAAAAAAATAAAACATTGTTAGATGGAATAAACAACAAAATAGAGGCAATAGTATTTTCCCACATCACTTAAAAAGGAGCATAAAAGCGTAGCGTTTCTTCCGTGAATGGCGCTCAGTTTGGACTCAAAAGATCGTAATCACGACTATATCGTCAAAATTGTTTGCAAGGGGATGCATCGGGTAACAGCGGCTCTGGGGCAAGATCAACAAAACATATTTCACGACATAAATACTTCACGCAAGTAGATAGTGATCAGATTGAATGAAGTCACGACATACGGCTTTTGAATTCGCAAATTGCCCAACTGAGAGCAGCTTAAAGCAGAAGTATAATATGATTTACTTCTTTGTAAGTATCCTGCAACATACATGCATGTCGTCCAGGTTGATCAATTTAATTTAAGGGTCAGATGCAAACCATTCCAACGCATTAAAACTGGTTTTGGGGAAAATTATTATTATTTTTTTTAAAACTGGTTTTACGGACGGAGAATGATCCCGAAACTACGTCTGAGCCGGGTGCTGACCCAGATACCCGGAAATGCCGAATACAGAGGCGTAGCTAAGGTGGGGGAAGGGGGGACATGTCCCCGAGCGCCAGACTAGATTGGGGGGTGGGGAAACACTCAAGCTACATCTCTGGCCGATAATTAGCCAATCCGGTATTTTTCCGGACCTGGTTAAACGGCCCCGGGCGTTTAAACAAAAAGAGTTATCTTCTCTTTATTTAAAAAAAAATATGTATAATGTGCTCCACCCAATGGGGAGTAATGAATAGTTAATGCATGGAATCAGCCGATATTTTTTTTTTAATTTTTTTTTTTTTTTTGGTTTATTTTACCTGTATTAAATAAAAGATGATAGAAAACTGACCAGCGATTGGGTGCCAAATTAAATGTAAGCTACATGAACGTTAAAAAGCTCTTTGTCATAAGTATGTAGGCAACTATGGCTGTGAATTTTGTGTCATTGTTTGTCTGAGCAAGATGCAATATCTCTGGTTATGACCATGGCGCTTTCGGTTCACAATTTTAAAAAAAAAAATTTATTTCGCACGCTGACTGGCTGATGATACGAAGTAGCCAAAGTTTTGAGTGTGTTTGTGTGTGTGTTTGTGTGTGTGTACGCGCGCGCGCCGTGTGTGTGTGTGTCATTTCTATGTTCCGTCATAGAATTTTATAATAGGAATGTCATCTAACACTCGGTTAATAAGTGAAGCCAATGGCTTAACTGCAGGACGGCTAGGATGACATCGCCACGATGATGAAGTAAATATTTATTAAAATATATTCCTCATTCCTGCAGAAGACAATAGGGGACTGGAACAAGCTTCCAAAAGCAACAGTTGAGGCGGCTACACTCGACACATTTGTGTCTATTGCCCCCTGTATTCCAACCCCCAGTTCATAACACCACTGCTGAGTCGCCCTTGCAACCAGTGAGGTATCCCATTGAAACCCATGCACAGTAACATCGCGAACCCCTCTGAAACATAGGAGCCAGAATAGAATGATCAATTCATTGATCGTGGGCCCTCAAAATAAAGAAGAAAGAAGAAATAATATACGTGCGTTGGCAGGTGGCCTATCAGAAAAATTGAAAAATTGCTACCGACCAGCGACCAGCAGCACCGACGCATGTAGCGAAGCTCCGCTCCATGTTTGATTTCTGTCAAGTTCATGGTTTTAGGGCAGTGATTCTCAACCAGTGGGTCATTATTATAATAAACCTATTAGTATTTTGAAACCTTCAACTTTGATGCGATGCTTTCGTGATTTCTACTGATTCTTCACATGCACTTTTTATTTCTCCCGATTTAGTGGAACATATGTGTTGTTGTTGTTTTTTTCTGAAGTACTTGGTTTAAAAAAAAATGTGCTGTTACGAGCCTTGGGAGAAGATAGAACTCATTAGGATTCTTATAAAGTGCGTCACTTGCATGGGCGCCCGCAGAAAACTTTCTAGGGGGGGGGGGATCGATTAACTTTCCAAGGGGGGGGGGGCAAAAATTTTTTAGTAATGTTTTAATATAGTTTTAATTTAATGTAGCGTATTTGTATGGTGAACGAGCGGACAGGACATAAGCTTAGTTACTTTCTCTTTATTTTCTCTTTACTTTAATACATTTTTTGTCTAAATTTTTTTTAATCCAATCAATCCANCCCCTACCTGCGGGAGCCCATGGTAACTTGTATGCATGTTTTGTCAAATATTGAGGCCCCAACCCCCCCCCCCCCAATTGCTCAATGTTACATTTTATAAAGGATTTATACGAAAGACTTTGATTTAAAGGGTTTTTTTAACGCCAATTTCCGTTGGGACGAAATGTCCATATTCTTTAAACTAACTTATAACACATTTCCATTGGGGAAAGCTACAACAAGAAGCTGAATCCTTCTTGATGCTATTTGGAACGCCCTTCCAGTCGCTCTTAGAAACAGCCAGACACTGGAGTCTTTTAAAACCGATTTAAAAACAAAACACATCTATTTCGCAAACACCTTCTGGGGTGATGCTATCTACCATCTTTTTCAGTTAATGTATATTGGTTTGTGTTGCTTAGGGTTGAAATGGGATGAAAGACTTTGACTTGGTATGCTCGTATGTAGTTTTATATTGTTGCGTCTGGTTTTTTGTTTTTTTAAATGTGGTAAATTTTAGATTGTTTTTATTTCTCTTTTTAATGTGGTTGAATTTGTACCGTGCTTCGAGCTTTTGGGGATGAAGGGTGTTTTTCAAATAAACTTTATTATTATTATTATTATTATTATTATTATTATTATTATTATTGGGTGGACAAGGGCATTAAAACATATATCTGTGCTGAATGTGTTAATGAAAAAAAAATATTAATTTAACATTAATAAGCACCTGGCGACCGGATAAAAACAGAAGACGCGGGCCGTAGTTTGCCGAGAAAGAAATCCATGTACACTACTTTAAACCTCTTTAGTCCGCGCTAATGACAGTATGTACGGAGAGGCCACACGCATCAGGGGTCTAAACTCGAAATAACAAAAAACACGCGAGGAGATCAACTTGACCCAGATATTTGTACTTAACATCGTGCGATGCCAGACCGATAACAAGAAGCTAAAAGGGCATTAACTCATTGGGGTACTAAAATCAGCGCCATGTACTGTAATTAAGTTTTTAAAAAAAAAATTCTTTAAACACAATTTATGCTTCGTCAATGCTATATTTTTAGGAACATGAAAAATTTTTTGTTGAAGGGATTAATGGATTATTGAGTCCTAATACTGGACTAATGGAACCTAATAGCAGAGGCGTAGCGAGGGTGTTTGGCGCCCGGGGGACAAGGTTCGCGCCCGAGGACAAGATCCATTTTAAAGCGCCCCCTTTTTTTTTTTTTCAACTCTCAAACCCAATTATTTTTACCAATAACATAATATCAAAGCACATTTTGGCGCCCCTAACTAGTTGGCGCCCGGGGACATCTGTCCCCCCCTGCCCCCCCCTCGCTACGCCTCTG